GACCGGCCCCTGCAGGAGCGGACAGCAGGTCAGGCCTCTCAGGCTTGCACTGAGACCCCCGCAGAGCCCTGCAATCTCCCCTAACCCGCGGACCCTGGAGACCAACGCCGGAATCGCCTCTGACCTCCAGGCTCGCTTCACCCAGCCTAGCCCTTAGCCCTGCCTGCGCCCCAGTTTGTGAAGTCCCACTCCACTTACCGCAGAAAACAGAGACTGGCGCGGACAGGAGCGGTCTGGCGCCTCGAAAACTCCCAGCCATGCCCATTACGATTCCGTGGCTTCCCGCCATGCAGGCCGCCATGCAGGCCGCCATGTTTGCCGCTCAGGTCGGGACTACAACTCCCAGTAATCAGTGCGAGGAGGTAGCAGCCACCGGAAGCCAGATGGTGGCTGCAATAGGGCAAAATAGTTGAGTCTCTCCGCCCCTTTCCTAGAAGTCTTAGGAAAAGCGTGTTCTTTTTTTGTTGTTGCAGTTTGGCCAGGGCCGAGTTTGAAGCCGCCACCCTTAGTATATGGGCCTGGTGCTCTACTCACTGAGCCACAGGCGCCACCCCAAAACGTGTCTTTTTCTAGTTCCTCATAAAGTACTAAATTATACCCCTCCACCTGGGTGGTCTTCCAGCCTAAGAAGCTCTTTCTTACCCTACTGAATCAATTCTGTCTTCGCTTTGTTGGCAAGCCTTCCCTAAGTCAAAACCCTAATAAGGGCTCCCATTCCTAATAGGTCTCTTTCATTAGTACCTCTAATCTGATTTGCAAAATTTTCTTGTGTAATTATTAGATTAGTATTTATATTCTGCAATTATACTATATGAGAGAGGATACCGGAGAGGGGCGACTTCCGGGCAAACAGGTCTTCTCAGGGAGGCCACAAGGATGCACCTGCAGGGCCCTCTCCATGGTGACTCAGCTCTTGGGAATTTACAGGCTTAACTCCCTGGAACTTGGAAATTTCCAAGTTCTGTGAAATCCTGTAGTTCTGTAGGGGCTTGAGTAGCATCTCCCGCTTGATTCAAACTGGCCAATGGGAAAGGTGCCTGTGGGGTGGAACTGTTTGACTGTCAATAAAAAGGGAAAGACCAAGCCAGTCGGGAAGCACGGCCATTTGGAAATCTTCTATACCTTAAGCTCCCGGCCGATGAATAAAGCCCTTCCTCTTATAACTATGGTGTTTGGGTGCTCTTTCTCTCCGGTGGGCCTCATCTTCCTGCAACAATAAACTCCATGAAAGAAGGGACAATTTGCTCACCATTTTATCCCAGCACAGAACACCTGTTTCTGTTTGTTGATTGCATGGAAGGGAGGGAAAAAAAGTTTCTGATAGAACTTCTTGCTAGCAGAAAGAGAGCGTTACCTCTTGGAGGAATAATAATGAATTAGGGCTGGCTACCTGTGGGTCAGGATAGGTGGAAGACAGGATGGGGGCAGAGATAAATTGTAAGTCTTGGGAAGAAATTTGGAATTTGTCCTCAGGCAATGGTATGTGAACTAAAATAAAATCTTAAACCTTCTCTTCCCCCAGTGGCTGGCTGGCTGACTGGACCCCCTCTTGGCTAAGGGGATTGCCTAAGCTAAGATGTTAGCCATGAGAAAGGAGATCAGACATGGTCATGTCCCCTTCCTAACTTAAGAGATGTCCTTAGTGTCTCATTAACAGGCCTAAAGCTCAGCAAGACATACCTCTTTAAGGTGACCAGACGTCCACTTTTAGCGGAACAGTCTCAATTTTTAACAATTTGTCCTGCCTCCCATGTCCAAAAAAGTCCCAGTTTTTGGAAAGAATGCGTGACAAGCTAGGGAACGGTGGGAGAACAGGAAGGGAATATACGGTTTTCGGCTGCCATATGGCTATTTCACCAGGATATGAGTTTTATATTATTTTTGTTATTTTATAATGTTAAACTTTAATAACAGGTAATTGTTGAGAACTGATTATCAAGAACTGCTTATCAAAGTTCGCATTGTTGATCAGTTGTTAGAATTCGACCAACATTGTTTGGACTTAATGAACAATGGCATTTTTTGGCATTGGCAACCATGAAAACATTTTGTAACTATCTCTCAGACGATACACATCGTACTGCATGCTAGTGCTAGTTAAACAAATGATGTCAACAAATCAGCTATTCAGATAATTTAGGTAAGTTAAGTATTTCATGAATTTAGCCTACAGTACTTGTTTATTTATATTTTATAGTGGCAGCAAAAAGTCTAGTGCTGGCCTTGAAAGTGACACTTACAACTTATGAGGTATCATTATTAAAAAAAATATTGATAAGGAAAAGGTTAAATCTCGGGCATCAGCAAAAATCACAATAGAAAACAAATAGTTAGAAATAGTTCATCATTTGGAAATTGTGGGATACACGCTGTCCTTACCAGGAACTAATGCTGTGACTGGATGCTTTTTTCCTACGGTAAATAAAGTGTGGACATCAGAAAAATCACAATTAAGTGTTGAAACTTTGAAAGCCATTTTATGTGGGAAATATAATTTAACAAATTCTAGTGAAAAATTTCATGAGCTTTTAAACAATGACAGCAATCTACTAAAAAAAATTCACTCAAATGAGAAATACACCAAAGAATAAAATAATACTATATATAATTTTTTAATGTATTATATTTGTAAATTGTACTCATGTTGAAATTTAAAAAAAAATTACAATACTATTTTTGTGTTCTACGAAAATTTTTATTGCTCCATATAGATCAAATTTTTAATTAAGAACTGCCCTCCCCCCAGTTAATGGTGTCCTGCTTTACCAATGTTAAAATCTGGTCACCTTACTCTAGATCCCCCATATACATAAGAAACCACTTGACTTTGGACATCAGTCCTGTAATTTGTCTCTGATAAATAGACCTTTATGTTAACTCAAGTATTTCTTTTTGGTGAGTCCTGTCTAGAAGACATACAACTATAACTCTTTCAGCCAATTGTCAGCTAAAGAATCTTTAAATCCAGGTGGGCTGCTGTGGCTCAGGCCTGTAATCCTAGCATTCTGGGAGGCCAAGGCGGGTGGATTGCTTGAGCTCAGGAGTTTGAGACCAGCC